AGTTCAGAGAGAGTTAAATCTTCTCCTTGGCTCTAGAAGTGGGAATGTTATCCAGGCCAGTCTTGGAGGAGTAACAATTCTCATGACGACAATTGTTTGTTCAGAAGTGTGCATGTAAGTCAAGCTGAGTTGGGGCGGAGGGTGGAGGAGAGTGTCAATCCTAGCCCTGTGGTAAGCTCTTTTTGTTGATGTTGCAGAACTGGAATCTTATAACTTGAAGACACCTCAAGGTTGTGTGAGAACAAAGCCATCAAAGAAGAAAGTAGAGCCTAGAGATGGGTGAGAAAGATAATGTCCTGAAGTCATCATTTGAGTGCCTGGATCAAACCTGGCCTGAAGTTCATTCCTTGAGCTTCCAAGTATTAAGTCAATCAATTCTCTTTCAAATTTAAACAAATTAGTTTGCTTTCTTTAGCTCATAATAGGTAAACAGGATATCCTGACAGTTATCTTTTATGTTGCCCTCTACCACTTGACACTATGAATGAATAACTTTGAGTTTTGGGCTTTCCCTAGCTCTCCGTGCCAATGCTAAATATGCTAAGTATGATTTCACAATTATGGCCCAGGATCGTTCAGACTTCTGTTTCAGAGAGGCCTTGTGCACGGATATGATTTAAATCCCTCTGTCAAAACAACCTTTATATAGTTCTGTGCATGAATGAGTTTTTAATCAATTTAAATGAGAATATTCTAGACTAGATATCATCTTTTCCGGACTCCCACACTTTCTTATATTTTAGGTTAAGAAAATATATAAGAGTTTCCCATGCTTACCTTTATTCTAGCCGTCTTCACTCTATAATCTTTTTCTTACCTACTTTACTGTGTGGGGTTCTTTTTGCAGAAAAGGTACTTGACATACAATTATTGAAAAAATGGGTAAATAATGAACGATAATAATTACATAAGGAAAACTGTTCTCTTTTCCCATACTTTCTCTAAGACGGTCACAGAAAATCAGTAACTACATTTAAGACTTCCACGCATTGATATTGATGCCTTATCTTCCATTCTATGAGGCACACTTAGAGATAGATATTGATAAATTAAATTATTCAAAAGCTGGCAACCAGGTGTGAGAACATGATAAATGAAGAATAATCAAAGAAACTGGAAAGTTTGGCTTGGGAAAGGAAGATTTGGGTACAGAATAAAACTGTCTTCAAATACTTGAAGTGAGCGGGAATCAGGGCAAAAATTAGGCCAATAAATTCAGACTGAGTTTCTTCCGCAGTACAGAACTCTAGTAATTGGGGCCATCAGAGATAAAACAAGCTGCCTCAGGATTCCCTGAACTTCCCGTTTCTGGGGGGTGTCCCTGTAGAGCCCAAAGATCATATGATGGAGAATCTGTAGAATATTAGATCGTGGAGGACAAAGTATACCTGGCTTCTACAAAGTTCTCCTCCACCTTCAGAACGTGGTTTTTAGAATCTTTTTAAGAATTCTAGAATCTTAGAATCTGTTAAGTATTTTTTTAAATTCCTCTAAACCGCTGCTCCTTATTTAATAAAATGTTTGCACATGAAAATTTCTGCCCATCTCTTACTCCAGTGCTATGTTGATGGACAAGGCCACCATGTAGCCAAAGGCATAGCTCTGCATTTGGCTAGAACAGGGCTCAGAAGCATGGGATTGTCCAACATATACCCTGCATTCTGCTCAAACCCAAATTTAGGGCTTTATCAGTGTAAACTTTGCTCAAGTATGTGTGTTTGTGTATGTCTTGGGGTAATTTTTGCTTGTTGTCCTCAGGCAATAACTAATTAAGTGTGCAAGCTCTTCATATGAGAACCAAAGGCTATATTTGGAAAAGGGTAATCTAAGGACCAACTACATCAGAATCTCTTGGCATGTTTTAATAATGCATATTCCTGGATCTCACCTAGACTTACTAAATAAGACTCTTTAGAGGTTGGGCCCAGAAATCTGCATTATATCATGTAGGGAAGGAAAACTTATTTTCCCTCTACTTTTCTGGATTCTTAGCTGAGACAAAAATCAAATTAACTCAGAGAGGTAGCTTTATAATTTAGGCTTATATATCATCTTAGTAAGGAAAGGGGGATGAGGATGCAGGTCTCTTCAGGTAAATGATTAAAAAAACTTTTTAATTTTTCAATTACCACTGACATAGAATATTATATTAGTTTTAGGTGCACAACATAGTGATTAGGCAGTTATATAACTTATGAATGATCACCCCAGTAAGTACTACCCATCTGACACCACACATAGTTATTACAATGTTTTCGACTATATTCCCTATGCTCTACTTTACATTCCCATGACTGTTTTTATAACTGGCAATTTGTAAATCTTGATGCCTTCTCCTTTTCACCCTTCTCCCTCAACCTCACTCCCATCTGGCAACCATAAATTTGTTCTCTGTATCTGTTAGTTACTTTGTTTTGTTTGTTTATTTTGTTTCTTAAATACCACATATAAGTGATATCATATGGTATTTGTCTCTCTCTGACTCATTTCACTTAGCATAATACCCTCTAGGTTCATCCATGTTCTTGCAAATGGCAAGATTTTGTTCTTTTTTATGGCCAAGTAATATTCCATTGTAGATATATAGCACCTCTTTTTTATCCATTCTTCTATTGCTGGACACTTAGGTTGTTTCCATATCTTGGCTATCATAAATAATGCTGCAATAAACATAGGGGTGCATATATCTTTTCAAATTAGTGTTTTGGAATTCTATGGATAAATATCCAGAGGTGGAATTGCTGGGTCATATGGTAGTTCTATTTCTAATTTTTTGAAGAACCACCATACTGTTTTCCATAGTGGTTGTACCAATTTACAATTCAACCAATGGTGCATGAGAGTTCCCTTTTCTCTACAATCTTGCCAGCACTTGTTATTTGTTGACTTATGGATGATAGCCATTTGACAGGTGGTAGGTGACATCTTGTTGTGGTTTTAATTTGCACTTCCTCGATGATTAATGATGTTGAGCATCTTTTCATATGCCTATTGTCCATCTGTATGTCCTCTTTGGAGAGATGTCTATTCAAATTCTCTGCCCATTTTCTAATTGAATTTTTTTGGTGTTATGTTATATGAGTTCCTTATATACTTTGAATATTAACTCCTATTTATGTATCATTAGTGAATATCTTCTCTCATTCATTAGGTTGTCTTTTTCATTTTGTTGATAGTTTCCTTTGCTGTGCAAAAAGAGAGTAAGTGATTTTTAGGAAAGATGAATAGTCCCTTAGAATAGATGGAAGGTATCATAATTTTTGACAAGGTTTGTTCATTGAAAAGACTGATTTATTTTTGTGATAAGATTTGTCTGGATGTGGTATCATGTCTAGTCTCCTCTTCTATGGTGAGAGTCAGTCCGCCTGGTTGATAAAACTTCTGTCAAGGGAATTTAGGACAATAGAGTTCCTTTTGGAGGATCTGTCTTTAGGCAGATTCGAGAAGTTCAGAGAAAGCCTCTCAATGCATTTGCTGTTTTTCAAGTGCCTATAGCTCAAAATAATCAATATGCCAAAGTGGCATATTTTGAGCCAGCATGTCTTGAAGTCCTTCAGTCATATTTTGGGGTGATATATTCTGTAACCCTTCAAGAGCAACCCCAGATACTAATCATGAACTCTAAAGTTTGAGGCTTATAACTTTAGGAGGTAACAGGATATCAGTGAAAGGAACGTCCCTCTTCTGAATACAAATCAACCTCTTTGGGGAGAACTGCAAATGTCGAAAGACAGACTGGTCCATTAGGAAATATATCATCTGAATTTTTTCATTTCTAATTTTCTGAAAAAATATGTATTTAATTAAAATGATAAACATCAAATTATATTTTAATTGTGTAAGTCTTGAAAAGATATTTTAAATTATAATTATATAGTTCCCCATATATTTGGCTTAAAAAGAAATCAGAGACTACACACACAGACAAAAGGTAATTATGTGAGGAGATGGAGGTGTTAACTAAACCTATTGTGGTAATCATTTTGCAATATATATGTGTATCAAATCACCATGTTATACACTTTAAATTTATATATGTTATATGTAAATAATATCTCATTAGAGCTGGGAAAAAAAGAAATCGAGTAAAAAATGGAGCACTTGACATATGTAGAGTCTTTAAACAATATTATTGATAGTATTTTCAAACATCTTATGCAATAACCATGAAGAATGAGAAATACAGGAAAGTAAGTGACTTGCCTTACGAGCTCATAGTGAAAAAGTCTTATCCCTACAGTGGAAATCAAACCAAAAGTACACTGGAGAAATTACACAATACTTCTCATATTATGCTTGCACATTGTATCTCCAACTGGGCACTGTTCCAGGTTGTAGAAAGTAAACTAAGCTGTATATGAAAACAATTCCTGAGATTTAGATTTTCTTTGAATTAGGACATACTTATTCATCAGGAAATATCTCACATCAAGCAGCCTTTGCAAGAGACTGCTACTCATAATCTGAGATATCAGACATATTTTCTTCAGCAATGACTAAAAAATTAAAATGAACATCAAAAGCTTAGAAATTTAAATGAAAAAAAAAACAAACCAGCTTCCATTGAGAAGATTGATATATTTAAGACCTAGACTTTTAAAGAAACACAGAATAGCTAGCACATCTGAGTCTCACAATTGTGTTTCAAAAACTTGTGTTCTAGCTCTGGCTTTGCTAATTTCTGACAAGCATAGCATTCGATTTCACTAAAACAAATTCTCCGCTACCTGTGAATCAAATGATAGCAATTATGTTCAATGCTGTCTATGTCCTAGAGGTTCCCACTGTGAAGAATTTGCAAATAAAAAGTACTATGAAAATGACAAGTGATGGTAATATAAATAGAGATCATTTGTGTTTTCAAATTGCAGTTTACTCCCAGTCTCAACTGATGCTTTTTTAAAATTTTATTTCTATTGCTATTACTAGAAATCGTATGAGCTTACTTATCATCCTGTTGTCACTGACTTCCAAGTGGTCAATCAAAATAGCATGGCACTGTGCCACTTGGGCAGCACATATACTAAAATTAGAACGATACAGAGAAGATTAGCACGATCCCTGTGCAAGGATGACACACAAATTCATGAAGCATTCCATATTTTGTGCAGTGCCCCAGCTCCTCACACCCATGGCTGCTTAACACACACACACTCACACACACACACACACACACACACACACACACACACACACGGATAGCATGATACTGTATCCAGAGGCAAAGATTTTCCAGTAAAGAGAAATAGATATATAGGAATGCTATAAGGTTTTTTTGTTCGTTTTGGGGATTAAAATTCGGGAATATCATGCTGTGTTGTGTTGATCAAATGCAGGAGGTAAATTTAGAAAGAACAGTCAACTTCATTTCCAGCTATGCTTTTTTTTAAAAAAAATGCTTATAACAGCTTTATTCTCAATAACAATCCAGATGTTCCTCAATGGATAAACTGTCAAACGAACTGGTACTTCCATACCATGGAACACCTCCCAGAGACAAAATGGAATGAACTATTGATTCGTTTGACAATCTGAAAGAATCTCAAGAGAACCATACCAAGTGAGAAAAACCAATCATAATATGTTATATATTGTATCATTCATTTCTGTAACATTCTAGAAATCAGAAATTATAGACATGGAGTAGAGATTAGTGGTTGCCAGGGTTAAGAAAAGGATGGGTGTAGGACAGAAATGGTTGTGGTTTATCCAGAATACTTTAGATAATATGTTGTGGATTGTAATTTAAAAAGCTCTTTTCCTGAGGTATAACTTATGTATGTACATGTATAGATGTGCATAAATTGTGTTAATTATAAATATGCAGTTCAAAGAATTTTTATTATGTATACACCCAGGTAACTTTCATTCAGATCAAGATGTAGAAAATTTTCAGCCCTCCAAAAAATACTTTAATTTCATTTAAAATAATATATTTAAATTGAAATTAAAACAAATGAAACATTTAAGTATTTGACATGTTAAAATATTTAAATAAAATGTGATAAAACATTACAGAAAACTTGAAAAATTAAGAGAAGAAACAAATTATCCATTGTTTTGCCACCTTAATAAAACCGCTTTAATTTCCAATAACTTCATTCATCTTTTTTCATGTGTATTTTTTAAATTATAAGCAGAGTAGTATATATAAAATTTCAAATTCTTTTTTACCTGACATTGAGTCATATGCATTTTTTATGATGTTTCATGATTCCTTGTATTTATAATCGATCCAGCACTGACAAACATACTATAATTTTCTTAACAGCATTTTGCTCTTTGCTGTGATGAAAATTTTTGTATATAGGAATTTTTTCAGTTTGGCAAGTGGGTTTTTAAATACCCATTTTACTAAAAACACAGAAAACCCACACCTTTTTTTAGTACTGTCGGGGAGGAACAAACTTTCCTCTATCCTCAAGGTTCTTCTGGCTGGTTTAATAATCAAATAGACATGAGACAGAGTAACAAGAGAAAATAACCAGATTTCATACATTCCTATGGATGAGAACCCCTCATACGTGAGGGAGTCAGAGAGCCCATATGTAGGAGAGGTTCAGAGATAGAAAGGGCACATGGGTGTATAAGACATCCTGAGCTAGGGATGAGGTAAGGTGTCTTGGAGCTTCGGTAGGTCACTGCAGGGAGAGCACATGTTCAGTAATTATTAATTTGTCCTGTCATATAGACAATAAAAGTCATTTCTGGTGATAACTCTTATCACAGGCTGGGCTCTTAATTTAAATTCTTCTAGATAATTAAGGTGGGGGGCAGAAGTTTCTCTTGAGCGCACAAGGTCTTGGTGGTCTTTAGCTCAAAATAATTCACATACCACGGAGGCACATCTTGGGGTGGCTCTTTCTGAATCCCTATAGAATCTTTGCCAAGACATCAACTTTATTGACCTTCTCTTCAACAAACATAGAATCACAGTGCACACGTCTAAAAGGGGCCTTGGAATTAACAGTTCTGCCTAATTTCTGTAAGATTTCCAAGAGACAGTCATTCAATTTTAGTCTGACCACTCCGCTGGTTTTAGAATCGCTATTGCCATATTCATTATGGACACATAAGACTAATGTGTAGGTTTTTGAGCCAGCCTCTCAGGCTTCCCTATAAATTACCATTGCCACCACCCCACCCCACTGCAGTAACTTCTATCCACTGATTTTAGTTGTTCATTTGTCATTCTTCCTTTGTGCTCACTATATTCTATTTCTCTATTGAATTCCTCCCCACCCTTCTCCATCCTGCTTTCTGACCCTGGAGGCTGGCCTGAATGAACTAAATCAGCTCATGGCTGCTAGGGCCCCCATTAAGGAGGAAGAAGCATGAAGTGCGGGTATTTTACTCTCCTGGTTGCCTCCATGCAGGATCACTTAAAGCTGGCTGTGTCCCTTCATTAAGGATCATATCTCCTCTCAAGGTGAATTTCTCCACAAAACTTTTTTGAGTTTCTCTTTTTTACACATCCTTTCAGGCATGAGATAATGGCCCTAGCGTACTGCTCTGTCCTTGTCCCTCTTGAAAAACCCATTTGGATTACCCTAATTTGAGCAAACATCTGTTTGCTGTTTCCTGCTTGGATGTGTCTGACTCTACATAATACATGTAACCAGATTGTCACAAAACCCGGAGTTATAACTATTTGCCTTATTGCTACTGATGGTTGAACGATCCAGAAAACACTGGCACAGCTCACCCTGCTCACCTAGTATTTATCACTGCATTGCTCAGTTACTTCACAATTCACTGTCAGAATGAGAAACTTCACTCATGAATTTAGGTGATAAAGTTCATTCTAAATCACTTATGAACTAAAAGAGTTTGTTTTGCTTTCCTTTAAAGTTCAGATTTTTATCTCATGGAAATTTCATGTCGGATAAGTATCTGTGCTAGAGCTATTTTATTAACAGCATGAATAGAAGACATTAGAGGTAGATATGTATTTTCCCTTGGTGAATGTTCAGTGCAATGGATGAAATAATAACTCTGGTAATCACGCTTAAAAAAAAAAAAAGAAAGCCATCTTCTCTGAGTACTGTAGTTATTTTATATCTGTAAGACAAGCTCCTGTATAAACTGAAATAATTCTTCCAGACTTTTGGGAGCGTGATTTGGCAGTTACTTTCTGGGTGTGCTTAACCTAAGTTTTCATTTTATAGCGCAAATGCTTTTTGAGTATTAAAGACGTGCTAAAAAGGTTAAGACATAATATAATTGCTAGGTTAATTATTTTCTTCTAGAAGGAATGCTTCAAACTGGATAAAAAGAAAGAATAAATCCCAAGTATTAACTCAATTTATTATATCAATTTTTTGATATGATTCTTCTGACTACTAGTTGAACTTATTTTGCTCTTACAGAAGAGAGGGTTTGGATCAGTAAGTGGAAAAACAAGTAAAGGGCTGAATCAAGGCCAAGAGAAACTTGGGCTTCCTCACCATGTATTGAGTAGTTATCTCTTCTCATTTTCCTTACTGGATCTTATCCATTTCCATGTCTCCAATTACCACCAATCACAGATAACTCCCAAAATAAATCTCAAGCATAGACCTACTTGCACTCCAGATCCATCAATACAACTACGTTCTTGACATTGCCAAGTGGATATGTCCCCCAAATACCTCAAATTCATGACTTTTTTTTTCCTGTACTCAGGTTTGCTTCTCTTCCTGTGTTCTCTGCTTCAGGGAATGACACCACCATCTACCCTGATACACAAGGCAGACACCTAGGGATCACCATTGAAACATTATTCTCTTTGTCCCCTCAACGCACCTCATCTACTTTCTCCCCAAAATATATCTCAAAACGTATCCACTTTGTCCTCCAGGACCAACTCTCTAGTCCTGCTACTTTCACCTCTTGTTTTTGCCCAAACAACTCAGTCACTTCCTAACTCAATATCTCAATATCTACTCTTCCCATCTTTTCAACTAGTTTTCATACTACAGCTCAAGTGACTGTTTTGAAATGCAAATATGTTCATGTTACACACACGTGCGCGCGCACACACACACACACAGCCTTCATCCCTCATTAAAACTTCAGTGCCTTCCTTTTTCTTTTATCATAAAAATCAAAAATTTTAACATGGCCTATGAATCACTGCACATTCCGGTCCTGTCCTGCTTCTCCAATCTTATTTCTACTCTACCACTTATTAACTGCATAGCCTTGGGATAAGTTACTTCTCTGTGTCTCAGTTTCTTCATCTTTAAAATGGGAATAATATTAATATCACTCACTTAGGATTGTTGTGAAGATCAGTGTAAAGTGCTTAAAACTTACGTAGTAGGTACTCAACAAATATTAGCTCTTATTAACACATCTTAGCTCCTTCAGTCACTGACATTTTTTCTCATAGGTGTTATATTTCCTTCCACCATAGGGCTTTTGCACAGTATGTTCACTCTGGAGCACTAATGCCTCCCATCATAAACTGGTATCATTTCTTCCAGGAGGCCTTCATGATCTCATTGACTTCATCAAGTCCTTCTCTTACATGATTTCACAACAACATACACTTTTCCTTAATAGCACTTATCACAATTATATTTTTACATTTATTTAGGCATTCACATGACTTTTTTTTTCTCTGTCTCTTGGCTGCAAGTCCATGAGAACAGGGCCGATGGGATCATTTCTCTCCCTTAATGCTGTATCCTTAGCCCATAACATCTTGCCTGGCATCAAACAGGTATTCAATAAATGAGTTGCATGAAGAAAAGGAATCTCATTGTACCCTGAGAGGACTTCCAAGGCAATGGGGCTCTCCGACATTGTCCACAGATACCTTTCTCCTCTGCCAAATAGCAGCACCTGTGTGAGTAAGAATGGGTGTTTCTCAAGGAAACTCTGCCAGACCATAGATCCCTTATTAAGTTTTTTCAGGATTTTGATGGTTAATCCCTTCTCTATGTTTAGGTCATCCCTAAGAGTACTATTTCTAGTAGACATATGGTTCCGAAAACATGCTCCTCAATAAGGCCAAACTTACACATACAAAACAGTAATACTCATTTGAAGAATTGTCACAGGAGAGTTTAGCCATTGACGTCTGTCTTGACTAGGAGATATCAGACAAGTTGTTATCCTGG